TGGATACAGATTAAAAATGTGGCCTTCCTAAAAATGTCCTGCGTATTCTAAATGAAATATTTCCTGGATCATGAGAGACTTGGACTGTGGTGTTAAATGTTTTTATGAAAACATGAACCAGATCTACTTACTCTTGGCTGGGTCATGACAGACCTGAACTTGAATTTCATCCCTACTCTATGTTTGCGCTACAGATGGATCTGCAGTTGAATTTGTGTCCCTGAAGGATACCAGTTCATGGAGCTCCGAGTGAGTCTGGCAAATGCAGTGATCTGAGTAGACAAGGATTTGGGAGGAGGTTGGTGGTGGATGTTCTGGTTGAAGAAGAGGTGGAGAAGGAACTGAGTGGAGGGAGATCTAGGTGGAGAGGGGGTTTCAGAGGTTCTGGGTGGATGAAGGGTAAAGGGGGATCTGGTTGGAGAGAAAGGTGAAGGCGATCAGATGGAGAGGAGGTGAAAAGATACCTAGGTGGAGTTGAGTGGGATCTGGGTGGTTTGGGGGAAACCTGGGTGGATATGGACCTAGAGTGGATCTAGGTGAGCGAGGGGGGTTTGAGGACTCTGGGCAGGAGATTGGTGGTGGATGTTCTGGTTGAAGACAAGGTGGAGAGGGAACTGAGTGAAGAAGGAGTGGAGGGAGATCAAGGTAGAGAGAGGGTTTCAGAGGATCTGGGTGGATGAGAGGTAAAGGTGGATCTGGTTGGAGAGAAAGGTGAAGGTGATCAGGTGGAGAGAGAGGTGAAAAGATACCTAAGTGGAGTTCAGTCGGATCTGGGTGGTTGGGAGGAAACCTGGGTGGATATGGATCTGGAGTGGGATTTAGGTGGTGAGGAGGTTTAAGGGCTCTGGGCGGGAGACTGGTGGTGGATGTTCTGGATGAAAAAGAGGTGGCGAGGGAACAGAGTGGAGAAGGAGTGGAGGAAGATCTAGGTGGAGAGAGGGGTTTTTGGGGAATCTGGGTGGATGAGAGGTGAAGGAGATCTGGTTGGAGAGGAAGCTGAAGGCGATCAGGTGGAGAGGGAGGTGAAATGATACCTAGGTGGAGTTGAGTGGAATCTGGGTGGTTGGGGGGAAACCTGGTGGGATATGGATCTGGAGTGGGATCTGGGTGGAGATGAGGTTTAAGGGCTCTAGGTGGGAAGTTAGTGGTGGATGTTCTGGTTGAAGAAGAGGTGGAGAAGGAACTGAGTGGAGGAGTGGAGGGAGAGCTAGGTGGAGAGAGGTTTGAGGCATCTGGGTGGATGAGAGGTGAAGGGGGATCTGTTTTGGAAATAAAGGTGAAGGCGATCAGGTGGAGAGGGAGGTGAAAGATTACCTAGGTGGAGTTGGGTGGGATCTGTGTGGAAACCTGGGTGGATATGGATCTGGAGTGAGATCTGGGTGGAGAGGAGGTTTAAGGGTTCTAGGTGGGAGGTTGGTGGTGGATGATTTGGTTGAACAAGAGGTGGAGAGGGAACTGAGTGGAGGGGATCTAGGTGGAGAGAGGGTTTTGGGGAATCTGGGTGAATGACAGGTAAAGGGGGATCTCATTGGCGAGGAAGGTGAAGGGGATCTAGTAGAAAGGGAGGTGAAGTGATAAGTGAGTGAAGTGGGGGGGGATCTGCGTGGATCTGGAGTGGGATCTGAGTGAAGATGGGGTGTGGAGGGGGATCTTGATGGGAGGGAATCTGAGAAACAGCAAAGTTTGGGAAATAAAGGTCAGGGCAGTCATTTCATACAGTATAATTATAATTGTAGATTATAAACTGTTCGTGTTGCGGAGTTGATGAAATGGAATATACCTGGAGATCATATCCCCCTTATGTATTATACATGGAGATCATATCCCCCTTATGTATTATACATGGAGATCATATCCCCCTTATGTATTATACATGGAGATCATATCCCCCTTATGTATTATACATGGAGATCATATCCCCCCTTATGTATTATAGATGGAGATCATATGCCCCTTATGTATTATACATGGAGAGATCATATCCCCCCTTATGTATTATACATGGAGATCATATCCCCCCTTATGTATTATACATGGAGATCACATCCCCCTTATGTATTATACATGGAGATCATATCCCCCCTTATGTATTATACATGGAGATCATATCCCCCCTTATGTATTATACATGGAGATCATATCCCCCTTATGTATTACACATGGAGATCATATCCCCCCATTATGTATTATACCTGGAGATCATATCCCCCCTTATGTATTATACATGGAGATCATATCCCCCCTTATGTATTATACATGGAGATCATAACCCCCTTATGTATTATACATGGAGATCATATCCCCCTTATGTATTACACATGGAGATAATATCCCCCCATTATGTATTATACATGGAGATCATATCCCCCTTTATGTATTATACATGGGAGATCATATCCCCCCTTATGTATTACACATGGAGATCATATCCCCCCATTATGTATTATACATGGAGATCATATCCCCCCTTATGTATTATACATGGAGATCATATCCCCCCTTATGTATTATACATGGAGATCATATCCCCCTTATGTATTACACATGGAGATCATATCCCCCCATTATGTATTATACCTGGAGATCATATCCCCCCTTATGTATTATACATGGAGATCATATCCCCCCTTATGTATTATACATGGAGATCATAACCCCCCTTATGTATTATACATGGAGATCATATCCCCCTTATGTATTACACATGGAGATCATATCCCCCCATTATGTATTATACATGGAGATCATATCCCCCTTATGTATTATACATGGAGATCATAATCCCCTTATGTATTACACATGGAGATCATATCCCCCCCATTATGTATTATACATGGAGATCATATCCCCCCTTATGTATTATACATGGAGATCATATCCCCCCTTATGTATTATACATGGAGATCATATCCCCCTTATGTATTATACATGGAGATCATATCCCCCTTATGTATTATACATGGAGATCATATCCCCCCTTATGTATTATACATGGAGATCATATCCCCCCTTATGTATTATACATGGAGATCACATCCCCCCTTATGTATTATACATGGAGATCATATCCCCCCTTATGTATTATACATGGAGATCATATCCCCCCTTATGTATTATACATGGAGATCATATCCCCCTTATGTATTACACATGGAGATCATATCCCCCCATTATGTATTATACCTGGAGATCATATCCCCCCTTATGTATTATACATGGAGATCATATCCCCCTTATGTATTATACATGGAGATCATATCCCCCTTATGTATTATACATGGAGATCATATCCCCCCTTATGTATTATACATGGAGATCATATATCCCCCTTATGTATTATACATGGTGATCATATCCCCCTTATGTATTATACATGGAGATCATATCCCCCCCTTATGTATTATGCATGGAGATCATATCCCCCCATTATGTATTATACATGGAGATCATATCCCCCTTATGTATTATACATGGAGATCATATCCCCCTTATGTATTATACATGGAGATCATATCCCCCCCCCCTTATGTATTATACGTGGAGATCATATCCCCCCTTATGTATTATACATTGTGATCATATCCCCCCTTATGTATTATACATGGAGATCATATCCCCCCCTTATGTATTATACATGGAGATCATATCCCCCTTATGTATTATACATGGAGATCATATCCCCCCTTATGTATTATACATGGAGATCATGTCCCCCCTTATATATTATACATGGAGATCATATCCCCCCTTATGTATTATACATGGAGATCATATCCCCCCCTTATGAATTATACATGGAGATCATATCCCCCCCTTATGTATTATACATGGAGATCATATCCCCCCTTTATGTATTATACATGGAGATCATATCCCCCCTTATGTATTATACATGGAAATCATAATCCCCCCTTATGTATTATACATGGAGATCATATCCCCCCCTTATGTATTATACATGGATATCATATCCCCCCCTTATGTATTATACATGGTGATCATATCCCCCTTATGTATTATACATGGAGATCATATCCCCCCCTTATGTATTATACATGGAGATCATATCCCCCCCTTATGTATTATACATGGAGATCATATCCCCCCTTATGTATTATACATGGAGATCATATCCCCCCCCCTTATGTATTATACATGGAGATCATATCCCCCCTTATGTATTATACATGGAGATCATATCCCCCCTTATGTATTATACATGGAGATCATACCCCCCCTTATGTATTATACATGGAGATCATATCCCCCCTTATGTATTATACATGGAGATCATATCCCCCCTTATGTATTATACATGGAGATCATATCCCCCCCTTATGTATTATACATGGAGATCATATCCCCCCCTTATGTATTATACATGGAGATCATCTCCCCCCTTATGTATTATACATGGAGATCATATCCCCCCTTATGTATTATACATGGAGATCATATCCCCCCTTATGTATTATACATGGAGATCATGTCCCCCCTTATGTATTATACATGGTGATCATATCTCCCCTTATGTATTATACATGGTGATCATATCCCCCCTTATGTATTATACATGGAGATCATATCCCCCCTTATGTATTATACATGGAGATCATATCCCCCCTTATGTATTATACATGGAGATCATATCCCCCCTTATGTATTATACATGGAGATTAGAGATGAGCGAATTATTTAAAAATTCGGTTCGGCTGATTCGCCGAATTCGCGGAATAAATTTGCTTCGAGCCGAATATATTCGCTGCGAATTTAACTTATAAAAAGGGTGTTTCTAGGCTTCAGAGAGCCTTTATATTAGTGCAGAACACTGTACCTTTAATTTAAATGCCCTTGGAGTCTGCTGGGGAAGAGAAATAATACTGTCAGTCAGTATGACATGCAGATGAGTGCCGTCGATCTTAGAATCACCGCACACTTCACTCATTTGGCCAGTCACGGGGCCAAAACCAGTGTTTGGAGCCACAGTGTGGCGGTGGAGGCAGCAGCAATGGGAGGCCATACAGCACCCTATGACAAAATGGAACCCACCAGCAGTGTGAGGAGACCTGAAAGTGGCACATGGCAGAGTGTGGCGATGGAGACAGCAGCAATGGGAGGCCGTACAGGGACCCATGACACACTCTGGACCTGGCAGCAGCATGAGGAGGCGGTACAGGGGCCCATGACAGATTACGGGCCTGGCAGCAGCATGAGAAGTCGGTACGGGGGCCCATGGCAGATTACGGGCCTGGCAGCAGCGTGAGGAGGCGGTACAGGGGCCCATGGCAGAGTGGCGGAGCGTAAGCAGCTAAAATTGAAGGCCATACAGAGGCCTATGTTAAAAAGTCCCCCCAGCAGCAGCGTGGGGAGACGACTATCAAGAGTCCAATGGCAGAGTGGCGGAGCAGAAGCAGCTTCAATTGAAGGCCATACACAGGCCTAGGTTTAAAAGTCTCTCACAGTTAATTCCAATAACGAACTCTACTCCTCCGTGCAATCTACTTACGAGACCCTGGGCAGGTCTGGGTCCAATTTGTGGTAGAGACTGGTTTTGTTCAGCCATGCTTGAGCGAGTAATAACAGGTCTGTGCTGCCCTTTGGTGTCTGGCTTAATGCGCACAACACTGAACGTCCCCAGCGTTTGTCAACGATTTTGCCGTTAAGTGATGCAAAACCCGCTGAACCACGTTCATGAGGAGCCGGTACAGGGGGCCATGAATCAGTATGGACCTGGCAGCAGCGTGAGCAGACGACAGAGGCACATGGCGCAGGGTGGCGGTGTAGGCAGCATTATTCGGAAGCCAAACACAGGCCTAGGTTAAAAAGCGGAAGCCGTCAGCAGCGTGAGCAGACGACAGAGGCACATGGCGCAGGGTGGCGGTGGAGGCAGCAGCAATGGAAGGCCATACAGCACCCTATCACAAAATGGAACCCACCAACAGTGTAAGGAGACCTGAAAGTGGCACATGGCAGAGTCTGGCGATGAAGTCAGCAGCAATGGGAGGCCGTACAGGGACCCATGACACACTCTGGACCTGGCAGCAGCAAGAGGAGGCGGTACAGGGGCCCATGGCAGAGTGGCGAAGCGTAAGCAGCTTAAATTGAAGGCCATACAGAGGCCTATGTTAAAAAGTCCCCCCAGCAGCAGTGTGGGGAGACGACTATCAAGAGTCCAATGGCAGAGTGGCGATCCGGGAAGTCAGCGTTGTGATTGCAGATGCAATGCAGAGATTCTATGAGGTGATGCCGTGGGTGCGAAGAAGATCATATACCGTCGTACTTCCATCCATAAGACGGAAGTCCCTGAGTAACGATTCTGTGTCCCTGAGTAACGATTCTGTGTCCCTGAGTAACGATTCTGTGTCCCTGAGTAACGATTCTGTGGCCCTAAAGTCTCTGTGGCCCTAACTCTGTCCCTTAATACACACAGGTCTGTCTCTCTTGAAAGACCGGAGGCTAATGGAGAATTCTAAGATAGCCGCGATTTATAGCTCCACCATTACACAGTGCTGGCTGGCTGCTGATTGGCTAATGCGATCACATGTCATGAATGCATTATGGGTCAGCGCGCCTTGTCTGCGCGCCTTCCCAGAGATCCCCGCCCCATCTTCTCTGTCCATTTTCTCCGTCGCCACACATGTCGCCGCCATTTGCTAATCTTCGGATTCGTCGCAAATCGAATTTTTCCAAATCTTCGGAATGAATTCCACTTCGTCATGTTCGATTCGCTCATCTCTAATGGAGATCATATCCCCCCCCCTTATGTATTATACATGGAGATCATATCCCCCCCCTTATGTATTATACATGGTGATCATATCCCCCTTATGTATTATACATGGAGATCATATCCCCCCTTATGTATTATACATGGAGATCATATCCCCCCTTATGTATTATACATGGAGATCATACCCCCCTTATGTATTATACATGGAGATCATATCCCCCCCTTATGTATTATACATGGAGATCATATCCCCCTTATGTATTATACATGGTGATCATATCCCCCCCTTATGTATTATACATGGAGATCATATCCCCCTTATGTATTATACATGGTGATCATATCCCCCCCTTATGTATTATACATGGTGATCATATCCCCCCCTTATGTATTATACATGGAGATCATATCCCCCCCTTATGTATTATACATGGAGATCATATCCCCCTTATGTATTATACATGGAGATCATATCCCCCCTTATGTATTATACATGGAGATCATATCCCCCTTATGTATTATACATGGAGATCATATCCCCCCTTATGTATTATACATGGAGATCATATCCCCCCTTATGTATTATACATGGAGATCATATCCCCCCTTATGTATTATACATGGAGATCATATCCCCCCTTATGTATTATACATGGAGATCATATCCCCCCCCTTATGTATTATACATGGAGATCATATCCCCCCCTTATGTATTATACATGGAGATCATATCCCCCCTTATGTATTATACATGGAGATCATATCCCCCCTTATGTATTATACATGGAGATCATATCCCCCCCTTATGTATTATACATGGAGATCATATCCCCCCTTATGTATTATACATGGAGATCATATCCCCCCCTTATGTATTATACATGGAGATCATATCCCCCCTTATGTATTATACATGGAGATCATATCCCCCTTATGTATTATACATGGAGATCATATCCCCCCTTATGTATTATACATGGAGATCATACCCCCCTTATGTATTATACATGGAGATCATATCCCCCTTATGTATTATACATGGAGATCATATCCCCCTTATGTATTATACATGGAGATCATATCCCCCCTTATGTATTATACATGGTGATCATATCCCCCCTTATGTATTATACATGGAGATCATATCCCCCCTATGTATTATACATGGAGATCATATCCCCCCTTATGTATTATACATGGAGATCATATCCCCCCTTATGTATTATACATGGAGATCATATCCCCCCTTAATCTCCTCTTCTCAGTAGAGAATACATTCAGTCCCTCTAATCCTTCCTCATAGCTGATCTCCTCCATGCCTCCTATCAGTTTGGTTGCTCTTCTCTGTACTTCCTCCAGTTCCCCAATGTTATTTTTGTGATTTGGAGCCCAAAACTGAACTGCATATTCCAGATGAGATCTTACCTATGTTTTGTACCGGGGGAGGGGGGGGGGGATATCTCTCTCTCTGGAGTCTATACCTCTCCTAATACAAGAGAGGATTTTTCTCGCTTTAGAACCCGCAGCTTGGCATTGCTGCCATTATTAGGCTTGTGATCTACCAGAACTCACAGATCCTTCTCCACCATTGACCCCCCCCGATCATTCTCCATCATTGACCCCCCCCCAGATCCTTCTCCACCATTGCCCCCCCCCCCCAGTTGTACCCCCCCAGTATGTATGATTCATGCATGTTCTTAGCCCCCAAGTGCAGAACCTTACATTTATGAACATTAACCCTCATTGGCCCCATAGTTCCCCAATTACACAGAGCATTGAGGTCGGCTTGTAAGTTGGAGACATCCTGGAAGGACGTTATTCCCGGCACAGCTTGGTGTCATCTGCAAAGACTGAAATGGGATTTATAATCTCACACCCCATATTGTTTATATATATATTACAAAGTAAGGGTCCCAACACTTAACCCTGGGGTACCCCACTAATAACACTGAACCTTGGGGTACCCCACTAATAACACTGAACCTTGGGGTACCCCACTGATAACACTGACCCTTGGGGTACCCCACTAATAACACTGAACCTTGGGGTACCCCACTAATAACACTGAACCTTGGGGTACATCACTAATAACACTGAACCTTGGGGTACCCCACTAATCACACTGAACCTTGGGGTACCCCACTGATAACACTGACCCTTGGGGTACCTCACTAATAACAGTGAACCTTGGAGTACACCACTGATAACACTGAACCTTGGGGTACCCCACTGATAACACTGACCCTTGGGGTACCTCACTAATAACAGTGAACCTTGGGGTACACCACTGATGATCCTAGACCATTCAAAGTATGAATCATTAACCACTACTCTCTGAATATGATCTTTTAGCCATTTTTCTTTGCATTTACATTTGGATTTTTCCAGCCTGTAGACTTTACCTTACACATTAGCCGTGTGTGGGGAACTGTGTCAAACGCTTTTGCAAAATCCAAGTATACCACGTCCACCGCCACCCCTCTGTTCAATTATACTACATCCACAACCACCCCTCTGTCCAAGTATACCACATCCACTACCACCCCTATGTCCAAGTATACCATGTTTACTGCCACCCCTCTGTCCAAGTATACCACGTCCACTGCCACCACTCTGTCCAAGTATAAAACGTCCACAGCCACCCCTCTGTCCAAGTATACCACGTCCACTGCCATCCCTCTGTCCAAGTATAACACGTTTACCGCCACCCCTCTGTCAAAGTATACCACGTCCACCGCCACCCCTCTGCCCAAGTATACCACATCCACAGCCACCCCTCTGTCAAAGTATACCACGTCCACCACCATCCCTCTGTCCAAGTATACCACATCCACCCCTCTGTCCAAGTATACCACGTCCACTGCCACCCCTCTGTCCAAGTATACCATGTTTACTGCCATCCCTCTGTCCAAGTATACCACGTCTACTGCCACCACTCTGTCCAAGTATACCACATCCACAGCCACCCCTCTGCCCAAGTATACCACATCCACTGCCACCCCTCTGTCCAAGTATAACACGTTTACCGCCACCCCCTGTCAAAGTATACCACGTCCACCGCCACCCCTCTGTCCAAGTATACCACATCCACAGCCACCCCTGTCTGTCAAAGTATACCACATCCACCACCACCCCTCTGTCCAAGTATACCATGTCCACAGTCACCTCTCTGTCCAAGTATACTACGTCCACAGACACCCCTCTGTCCAAGTATACCACGTCCACCACCACCCCTCTGTCCAAGTATAGCACGTTCACTGCCACCCCTCTGTCCAAGTATACCACGTCCACAGCCACCCCTCTGTCCAAGTATACCACGTCCACAGCCACCACCCCTCTGTCCAAGTATACCACGTCCACCACCACCCCTCTGTCCAAGGTTTTGCTCACCTCCTCATAAAAAGAAATCAGATTTGTTTGACAACTTCTGTCTTTCATGACTCCATGCTGTCTGTTGCCTAAAATATTGTTTTCCAGCAAGAACTTCTCTATGTGGTATTTTATTAAACTCTCCAGTATCTTCCCAACTCTAGAAGTTACACTAACAGGTCTATAATTACAATCAAAGATTTTGACCCCTTTTTAAATATTGGCCCCACGTTGGTCTTACGCCAATCCAGTGGTACTATGCCAGTCATTAAAGAGTCCCTAAAAATGAGAAACAATGGCTGTGAAATGACAGAGTAACCAAATCTAGGAGCAGAGGAATGTGGGGGAAATACATAATATCAGCGAGGCAGCATGTCATTGAGTAGAGGGAGCAGATGCGTCATTCAAGGGAATGGCAGAGCTCCATGGCTACAGGCTGTTGTCCTCTGGTCCTTTCCCCAATGCTCAGGTTTATGGGCACATGCCTCAGACCACACTGTAGCAATTTGCAGTCTCTTGTCGGCAGCATATCAAGCATGAGAATAGTATCAATCATTTGGGTATAACATGTACTGTATAAAGATACATTAGATATCACCACATAGTTCAGAGTGAACGACACCTAAACAAGAGTGGTAGGCAGTAACAGTTGGACAACAGCTTCCTCCTTCCAGCTCCTGCCCTATCAGCCGTCTCAAGCTATGTGGGTGGAAGCATTTCAAGGGGGTGTCAGAGGTTTACCTTCTGGCATTTCTAGCACTGTAGAGGGGTAGGTTTCACCCATTCTCTGATTCAGCCAACCCAACTCTGTCATCTCCAGCTAAACCATTGAGCAAGCAGGTTTCTGTAGCCTGGCTTACAGTATCTTCTGAGGAAGGTCAGAAAAGTTTGTAGCCATTGAAGATGGTCATACCTAGAACACGTTTGAGTGAAATTATGACCACAAACTGCCTAATACAGCAATGGGCAAACTACGGCCCACGGGCCGTATACGGCCCACGGACCTTTTAATCCGGCCCGTGGAGAGTGATACTGTCAGAATGGCTGTCAGGATGTGTGTAGGCGGGGCAGCGTGACGAACGTGAGGGGAGCTAGGCTCCTCTCACAGTCCGCCCTGAAGACCGGAACGGCGCGGGAACACGGCGAGAGGAACGCGCGGAGCAAAGGTAAGTAAATTGACACAGGGGGGACTTGGGGACTTAATATGGGGGATGAATTAATATGGGGAATGAATTACTATAGGGGGGATGAATTACTATATGGGGATGAATTACTATGGGGGATGAATTACTATATGGGGGATGAATTACTATGGGGGATGAATTACTATATGGGGGATGAATTACTATATGGGGGATGAATTACTATGGGGGATGAATTACTATATGGGGGATGAATTACTATATGGGGGATGAATTACTATATGGGGGATGTATTACTATATGGGGGATGAATTACTATATGGGGGATGAATTACTATGGGGGATGAATTACTATATGGGGGATGAATTACTATGGGGGATGAATTACTATATGGGGGATGAATTACTATGGGGGATGAATTACTATGGGGGATGAATTACTATATGGGGGATGAATTACTATGGGGGATGAATTACTATATGGGGGATTAATTACTATATGGGGGATGAATTACTATGGGGGATGAATTACTATGGGGGATGAATTACTATGGGGGATGAATTACTATATGGGGGATGAATTACTATGGGGGATGAATTACTATATGGGGGATGAATTACTATGGGGGATGAATTACTATGGGGGATGAATTACTATGGGGGATGAATTACTATGCTTACTATGGGGGAATATTACTATACTTACTATGAATGACACTTACACATCATTCATCTACTCTTGGTCCGGCCCCCGGGTCCAATATATGAACCCATTGCGGCCCTCAAGTCAAAAAGTTTGCCCACCCCTGGCCTAATATATAATATGCTCATCCGGTGGAACTCTTTCTTGGCCATGCTTCCGCGATGGTGCATACATCAGTGGGCCACATATGAGTTCCAGCGCTTGTATGGCATGAGGACAGCCTTGGGGAAGGTGGAGTTTTCCCCCCATCAGTGGTTCCTCTTTCATGATGCATGCCTTGTAATGTAAATATTCAGGCAATCAACCAGAATGGGAAGCTGTGACAATGTGGGCACCAATGTAACTATTCCTGTAGTGTTTTCTGCTAGAGTGGCACTTAAAGAGATAATAGACTGGACATGTGAGGTACAGCAGGATAAAGAAGAGGAGGATGCCCTGGTGAGTTTATTCAGACTCCATCTCTGTGAGATCACAGTAGACACAGAGGGACATGGGGAGGAGGAATAATATCAATGGTGTGGTGGTGATGAGGAGAAGGAGAACATGGGGTAGGCATCCACTGGTGGGTTTCTGCCAGGAACCATGAACCAGGCAGAGACAGAAAGTGACATTAAAAATCACACCTTTAATGAAATAGCAAATATAACAGTCCAGGGACATAGTCAAAAACAAAGCCCAGGATTTGGATGCCAGTGCGGGTAATCAGACAAGGCGGGGTCAGGAAACCAGAAGTCAGTGTAGACTGGAGCCAAAAATCAGGAACAGGAACTGGAAGAGAAATCAGCCAGACTGAATTGTACACAGGAACACAGGCAGGAACACACTGGAGATCATGGACCACGCAAGGGCAAGGAGGAAATGAGCTAAGCTGATATAATAGCAAAAAGGGGCTGGTTGATGTGGGCTGGACTGATGAGGCAGGTAATGGTATCCAGGTGAGTCACTGTGGAGACAACGGGTGGCTGGTAATTAACTGATATCTGAGCAGCTTCTAAGCACTGAAAGGAAAGAGTAGCAGGAGCCCAGCCCTGACACATTGTTCAGAGACAGCGGTGTTGCTATAGTTCAGTCCATACCCAATGAACTGGAGTTTTCCAGGTGGTTCCTCACAAGATCTTGTGGATCCATTGGTTATAGCGCCTGTATGACCACTCTGCTGAAGGGGGTCATATAACTCTGGTAAGAGGCTGCAAAATCACAGCGGTGTGGTGGGTAGCTGATGGTCACCTACATTTGGATTGGAAGCACTTTATAGAAGATTTATGGACTGTATGATTGTCAGCCATGTGTGTGCACTTTAATATCGTGGAATTCATGTTTTTGGACATTTACTTCCTATTTTTGTAGCATTTTGCACTTTAGGTGTTACAAATGGTGGAATTACTCACCTATTGTTGTTGATATAAATGTGTTTTTTTTGCATACACACCACCACCTTCATGTATTATGTGTCACATGCACTGATTTATTTGTAGATGAACATTTGAATATTTCTTGCTTTGCATATTTCTCTCACTAGAGACCTGCATGACGGGAAAAATTGTTTTGTTTTGGATTACCGTATTTTCCGGCGTATAAGACGACTTTTCAACCCCTGAAAATCTTCTGAAAAGTCGGGGGTCGTCTTATACACCGGTGCGAGCCGGTGTCAGGGCGGCACTTTTTCGAGGGGCGGCGTGGCGCCGCCCCCCCCCTCCTCCTCCAACGGACACTAAGTACAGGGGTGGGCAGAGGGGCTGCTGTACCTTACCTGGCTCCGGTCCCGATCCGGTCCAGGAAGCGCGGCTGCTCCTTTCAGTTCGGCCGCTCGATGGTCACGCGGCCGCTCGGCTCCGCCTCCTCACCGGTGATTGGGCGCCAGCACTGGAAAGGCACACAGGCGACCAATCACCGGTGAGGAGGCAGAGCTGAGCGGCCCCGCAAAAATCGAGCGGCCGAACTGGAAGAAGGAGCAGCCGCTCTCCTCTCCCCCACTGACACTAACGATGGGGCACTATTCCTCCTCCACACTGACACCAACGATGAGGCACTATTCTCCCCACTGACACCAACGATGGGGCACTATTCCTCCTCCACACTGACACCAACGATGAGGCACTATTCTCCCCACTGACACCAACGATGGGGCACTATTCCTCCTCCCCGCTGACACCAATGATGGGGCACTATTCCTGCCACTGATACCAATGATGGGGCGCTATTCCTCCCACTGACACCAACGACGGGGTACTATTCCTCCCACTGACACCAATGATGGGGCACTATTCCTCCCACTGACACCAACGATGGGACACTATTCCTCCCACTGACACTAATGATGGGACACTATTCCTCCCACTGACACCAATGATGGGGCACTATTCCTCCCACTGACACCAATGATGGGACACTATTCCTCCCACTGACACTAATGATGGGACACTATTCCTCCCACTGACACCAATGATGGGGCACTACTCCTCCCACTGACACCAATGATGGGGCACTACTCCTCCCACTGACACCAATGATGGGGCACTATTCCTCCCACTGACTAATGATGGGGCACTATTCCTCACACACTGACACTAATGATGGGGCACCATCATTGGTATCAGTGGGAGGAATAGTGTCCCATCATTGGTGTCAGTGGGAGGAATAGTGCCCCATCATTGGTATCAGTGGGAGGAATAGTGCCCCATCATTGGTGTCAGTGGAGGAATAGTGCCCCATCATTGGTGTCAGTGGGAGGAATAGTGCCCCATCATTGGTATCAGTGGGAGGAATAGTGCCCCATCATTGGTGTCAGTGGGAGGAATAGTGCCCCATCATTGGAATACCATACTGAAATAGTATACCATATTGAAATCAAATCTGATGTTTTTTCATTTTTATTTGGTGTGCGTTGGAAGGGGGTCGTCTTATACGCCGGA